GGGGGGGGGGGGAAATTCCTCCATTATCTCCCTGATTCTATTAGGAGAGAGGTAATCTTGGTGGCTCGACTGATTTCTTGTGGCAAAGAACAAAATACAATGCAAAAAGCCTAGGCTGACAGGAAGGTTACTGTTGGAGTGTAGGAGACAACATGGTGGGGTGGGAGCTAGGTGGCCATGGGTTCAAGTCTCAGCTCTTGGGAAAATTATTTAACCTGTCTGTTTTTCAGTTTCTTTATATAGGAATTGGAGATGGTATATGTCATATTCCTAACCCATAGTAGGTGCTCTCATAGCTACTACACAGTCAGCACTTTGTGCTTGTTTACGCAGGGCCTCGCCTTTGCTCCATGGCATAGTAATTGATTTTAAGAATATTATAATTCCCTGCAGCTTCCAGGCGTGATTTTGTGGGTCATGGCAATGAGCAATGATTAAAGAATACAGCAAACTCTGGCAGGAGAGTTTGGAAGACTGGCCAAAGGACAAATCTCCATTTCTGGCCAAGAGGACTAAATGGAGACCCTCTGGCTAAGCCCACTTAATGACCTCTCTGGGTGAGCTGTTGGCAGGAGTCTCCTCCCTGGCAGCTGACTCCTGCCTAAGTTGCACAGGTTATCCCTGCTTTGCAAATTCAGGGCTAATAAGTCCTAGGAGGAAGGCGTGAGACTGGGACACAATCCTGGCCATGGCAGGCCTGGCTGGACTGAGATAGTTCATTCATTGAAAAATTTGAAAACCAAGGGCTCTGCTTTTGGCAAATTAACACTGGTTTTCCAAAGCCTGTCTTTCCCTGGACTTTTGCCTATGTGGTGTAACCCAGGCATGCTGTGTAGTTATTTGAACAAGAATGTCTGGGAGAAGAAAAAAGATGAACAGGTAGAAAACTTCTCAATATCTGCTTCATGATTTATAAAAGAAATATGATAGCATGCCATTAAGGGATTCTTCCCAGGAAAACGTTGCTATCATACAAAGAAATATCCTGTTAAAAAGATTGTAAAGTTCGCCTATATTTCTAAAACCATTGAGTATAACAGTGAGAAAAGAGGTATTCTATCCCACTGCCACTTAGAAACGGCATCTAGAGCTTTTCCCTGACTTGGCCGTATGTTGGTAAATAGAATGAATCTGTTTTACCACCTGATTCTTTTCCATGCATTTTGATGGAGTAATGTACATATTATACGTACATTCAATATGTTGGATACATAATAACCAACTATTATAATGAATTCCTTCATATCTCCTGTTGGCTTTTCTCATTCTCAGTTTCTTTTAAGATTTTATAATTTACTGGCTACATTCACCTTTCTCTCTCCTTAATTCAGTAATATTTTTGGCTTCTCAACTAACCTGTTGATTACCTAATGCAGTGAAGAGTTTGCTTCCCAGTTACCCAGCGCACTTGTGCATAGCATTTGGCCTGGTAGGAGGAACCAGCTCTACCTTCAGGGTGGGTTTGTTGGGAAAGGATTCAGACAAGGCGTGATGCTTGAACTCAGTCTTAAAGGAGGTACTTTCCAGGTAAAAATGGTAGGAAAGGAAATCCAGGTGGAGTATGAGGTAAGAAAGAGAATGAGGCAAGTGAAGGTGGTCTGTACAGCTGTTCTGGTGCGCAGCGAGGGCAGGTGGAGTTGCAGCTGAGGGAAAGGTGGGAGGTATGGCTGGGAACCTGGTCACCAAGGGCCTTATGGCCTCTGCATGTATGTCCTACAGGCAACTCAGATCCTTTGGAAGATTGTAAACTGGGGGTAAGGGGGTAGGATGGACTTGGATTTAGGGATGTAAGAATGAGGAACCTGATCGAATGTGAATTTTTGAAAAGGACTGTGACAGCAATGTGGGCAACAGGCGTCTTCAAATCAGCCTGTTTCCTCTTTTTGTAGAGTAAGGACTATGTAGGTTTTGCACCAAGATGAGAAGAGATAATGTATACAAAAGTGCTAAATATATTTAAACTAGTATTATTTTTGTGTGAGTCAGAAATGGGTTAATATGCTTACTTTTATGAAGTCAGCTTTGTGATCGGAGGCAAAATACATGTGCTTGGTATTATTACCTGATTCTGGTGCGTGGCTTTCCGCTTCCTTATACATCTGTTTTTGTGCGTGTGCATGTTTTAGTGGGAGTGGCTATTACTATTTATCCACTTTAGCTTAAACTCTACTACAAATTGGAAGGATAGGGGGAGAGTTGATGAACACTGATTATCGAAGAGGGGGGGAAAAAGGTGTGTGTCCCACCCCATTGTGCATTTTCTTTCAAGAGCCATTTCAAAAGAAAAGCATTTTCCATCTGCTTATAGCACATAGCAAGTCAAGTGCCTGAAGACCTCATCATATTTACTAAAACTCTCCTCCCAAAAGAGCATGAGTTGTGAGTAGGTGAATAGAACCTGATGTGTAAATAACTAAATATCCAAAGGAGCACATGAGGCATCTTATAATATGATATTTATCTGATTTTATTCAGTGTGTTATTAAGAAGGACCCTGGTACTTAAAAGAAAATCAGGACATTTTCAAAGCTCAAGTCTGAACGCTGCATCATCCTTGGTAATGGTGTGACCCAGCAAATCACTTCACCTCTCTGAGCCCCTCCGAGCCCCTCCTTTCTCTGTAAAATGGGGAATGTAGTAAGTCTTATGTCATAGGGCTGCTGGGAGGATGACCTGAGATCATCTGATTGAAGCCCTCCATACAGTACCTGACAAATGATAAGTTCTCCATAAATTATTATTAGGGCTGGGAGAGGAACCATCTCGGCTTTGGGAGTGAGCACTGTTCTTTCCTGATGATGGCATCAGACATTTAATTTCAAGTTGCTTCTGAACATGAATCTTTTTTTTAAAATTGTTAACACTATTAAAAGATGCCTATGAGTCTTAATTTACACTTGAAAAACAGGGAGACGATGAAAAAGAGGGTTGAGATCAGCCTAGAGAAGATCTTGAACCTGAAGAGGTACCAAAGCCCAGTGCCTGCTTTGTGTTGGTCCTGCCAGCCTGACCACATGGACAAGTCAGCAGGGCATGAAGGTGCTGAGGAGGTGGTGGTTCCTATGCTGCAGAGATGGCGTGAATGGCGACTAGGGGCAAGGCAACAGTCCACACAGCTGCAGGTGTGAAAATCAGACTGTCTTTATTTTACCACTGTATTTGGAATGGGTAGCAGCACTGGGGAGCTGGGGAGGGGAGGGGAGGGGAGGAGAGGGGATCTGTTGGATGGAAATCTTACCTTTGAGCATCAGTTATATCTAGTGCTTATTTTCAGCACAGTTCTTGTTAGACTTTTCAATGGCAAATCAAGGACAAGGAAGATGGGCTCAGAGGAAAGGTTCTTTGCAAAAGTTCCACAAAGTGGCCAAAAGTTTATTCTTGCATTTCAGCATGCATGTGCCTTGGCATTTTTTAAATTTTTTTTTTTAAGAACCTGACTTAAGAAAACAAACTTTCCAGGTAGCACATAGCTATCCCCATCTTTCTAGCATCTCTGCCTCTGGCTGATGTAATGCCATACTTTCTTGACAGTATCAGCTCTGGTATGGGTCTAAAACCAAGTATATTTATACCTCAGCCATAAAACAGGACCTTCTAGATAACTAGATTCAGGCGCTCTACTCTCCCCAACAGATGCCTCTCCACCACCCCTGGCTCCACCAAAATTAGAAGACACACATCCTGAGTTAAACTCTGGGCCTGGCCAGGCACACAGCAAGGGTGCTGGTTGGTGATGAGCTTAATGCACAGCCCACTTGACTGAGCCATGTATATGCTCAGGCTTGACCTACACTGGCAAAATCTCTAAGGGTATTTCTAGACATTTCACATGATTGACTCCTCTGAGGAAATGATACATTTAAAAATATATATGTACACACACATACTTAATTATTTTTTTGATCCACAACTAAAAAGAATTCTTTGCCATTGGGTAAGATTAAATCTGACAAGAAACCCTATGAGTTTTTATTAGTACCATATTGTTTTCTTTGGCTCCATGTATTATATTGGTAAAGTGACCAAAAAAGGGGGG